ATTTGTGCCCATGTTGTCCCAAAGAACAAAGAAAGCATCTTTGATCACATGCTGTGGGCCACATCTCAAACAGTCCAGATCCTCACCCTGAAAGTGTATTAGAACTGGTTCAGGTGGAGGAGGAAGGCAGCAGGCCCTGTTGTTAAAGGGGATGAATGGAGAGGTTTGAGCCATCTCAACATTCCTCACGTCCTGTTTCTCCTTGGTCAATTCTCTCCTTAGTTCTGCCTCCTGGAGACTCTGGTCACAGCCATTGTGGATGAAATAGGAAATGAGTGGATCATCCGTCGGAAAACCTTTGTGACTCTAGGTGTGGCTGTAGTGGGCTTTCTTCTAGGGGTTCCACTCACTACACAGGTATGGGGCACAGGGAGAGGGGGCATTCTTAAGGAAATCAGCCCTTACTGAGCCGAAGGCAATAGATCTTGCCCATACTGAGAGCTTTCCTTCCCTCCATTCTCCAGGCTGGCATCTATTGGCTGTTGTTAATGGACAACTATGCAGCAAGCTTTTCACTTGTCGTTATTTCATGCATCATGTGTGTCTCTCTCATGTACATCTATGGTAAGTATCCTGAGAGTTGCCTGGAAGCTTCTTCTGGGGTAGCTAGTCAAGATGTGGGCCATTTGCACTTCGTCCTTTTTAGAAGCTATGTCATGAATAAGTTGGGCAGCGATTGGCATTCCCAATCAGAATTGGGCAGGGTATTCCACAGTCCAACAAAACCTTTCACTGGTAGCCAAGACTACCAAGACTTCTTCCTTCTGTCTGCAGTGTGACCTGACAGATAGGAGCCCTAGGATTGTTAGGGAAATTGAATAAATTATATTCCACAAGAAAAAGGGACTGTGGTACCTCTGGGAGGGAAATCAGCAAACTCTCTGCTCATTCTTGGCTTGTGAAACCTTCACCATAGATTAGTTTCTCCAGACTAATGATGAAGGCAATGTTTTCCCTATTCCCAAATCCATATAGGAGTAACGTCACTCAGGCAGGGCAATATGGATTCTGTTGAAGATAACATGTCCAACAAGGCTTGTACCAATGGTCAGTTTGGTGAGGCACTTGCTGTGGTCCAAGATGCTGGGCTGATCTCCCATTCGCCTGTGAGAGAAATGCTTGTTGCTAGGAAAATAAACTCTGCAAGAGCAGGCCTGGTGTCAGCATCTGGAATCTTGGACAACTGCTGAGGCCCCAGTATTATTTCTTGGCCCACCAATGCTGATGGCTGCTCTGGATCCTCTATGCCTTTCAGCTGGGACTGCAGGCAGCAATATATCATCACCACCACCACACCACAATTTATTGATCACCTTCTTAAACCACTGGTCTTAAGGCAATGTACACATAAAATAATTAAAACCACTTAAAAACACAATAACAATAAATACAATTAAAACCCTAAGGAGTGGACACTCTTGTAAACAGCTATTTATCCAGCTGGGAAAGTCTTTGCATTTCCCACAGTGCCCTAGAGCTACATCAGGCACCCAAGGGCATTGTGGGAAAGTACAAGGGTGTCACCTGGCTGTCTGTGGAAGTTGGCCCACTAGAGGGCCCAGTTCCCACCCCACCCCACAAAAGAAACACAACCCTGGAACTGGCTGTGTGCAAGGGTTCAGCTCCGTTGTCTCATCCTTTCCCTTGAAGCAGTTGGAACCTCTGGGGCAAACTCTGACTATCTGGTGTTCTGCTTCCTCTGTCAAAGCAGGGAAAATCTGTGGGATCATGATGTGGGGTTGGGAGAGAGACCCATCACGCTGGGAGAGAGTGCACAATCTACTATGTGGAGTCCCACAGACACCCTACTACACATAACAGGGCCCATGGAAACCTGCAACAGGCCCTAGTGCCCAATTACAATGTCCCTGGTTCATGCCACTCCTCTGACCACCCTTTGCTTCTGCTCCACACAGGGCACCGGAACTACTTCAAGGACATTGAGATGATGCTGGGCTTCCCACCACCCATCTTCTTCCAAATCTGCTGGAGATTCATCTCTCCTGTTATCATATTTGTGAGTGTGTGACGAGAACACTCCCAGTGAGAGGGGGCTAGAATGGGAGGGAGAGGACTGTCAACAGCCACTCGCATATGAGTTGGGGGAGGAGGGAGTTGTTAGGTAGCACACCAGTACAGGAGAGAACAGTGCCAAGGAAGAAAACAAGGGAAATACCAACGAGGAAGAACCACACCTGCAAAGGCAAGAGGGGTTCCCAAAGATGCAGTGAGTGTAACACTGGGCATAAGCGTAACCAGTATGAAGGAGGACAGGAGGGTGTGGGATTAGGCAGTTGCATGATGCCAACCCCCCCCCTTGCTCCCCTTGGGCTTTGCATCACTCAGTCTTCTTTCCCATCTCTCCTCAGTTCATCCTCGTGTTCACAGTGATCCAGTACCGACCGATCTCCTACAATACCTATGTGTACCCCACCTGGGCCATCTCCATCGGTTTCCTTATGGCGCTCTCGTCGGTCATCTGCATCCCTATCTATGCTGTGTTCTGCGTGTTGCGCTCAGAAGGGGACACGCTGATGCAGGTGAGGCTGTCCGTGAGCAGGCTAGCTGAGCGCCCCCTGCCTTGGATCCCAGTGGCCAAGGGCTTTGAAACCACTAACCCGCTCCCTTGCCTCCTGTCTCCCTGCAGCGTTTGAAAAACGCTACCCGTCCCAGCCGCGAGTGGGGCCCAGCCCTTATGGAGCACCGGAAAGGCCGCTATGCGCCAGTACTCAGCTCCTCCGCGGAGTCCCAGCTGGAGGTGCAGCTGCTGAACCCCGAGAAGCCCAAGAGCGACGAGGCTGGCGTGGCTGTTGCCATCACCGTGGGAACCAACGGCTCTACCCACAGCCAGGACTCCAAGATCTGAACATGAGCCTGGGAGGCAGGGCAGGGAGCCCTCCTTGCACCTCCCCTCTCCCACCTGCCCTGGTTCTCCAAACCCTACTCTGCTCAGATATATGACAGCGCCCCCCCACTGGGTGGGGGAGCCCTGGCTCCCGGGCTGCGCCAGACTCTGGGGGAGGGGCTGTGAGTTCCAACCCCACCCACCTCATTAGTGCCCCCCCGTGCCATCTTGTAACCCTCATGTTTACAGTCACGTTCGGATGGCCCCAATTCGCAACCAGGACCAGGGTCAGGGGTGGGGAGGGTGTGCACTGGCTGAACCGTTGGGGGTGCCTTGGGAAAGGGCACCAGGAGGAGGGTCGGTTGGAGCCTCGCTGGCTCAGCAGCCCCTTTGGGGGTGGATTCTGGCAGCTGCACCTGGGCCCAGGGGGTCTGGTATCTATTGGGGGTGGTATGCCCCATACTGCCCTGGATCAGGGCCCTGGGGACTGGCCCCACAGATAAGCAAATGGGGGTTGGGGTGGGGGGAGGGGGAGGGCAAGAGGGTTGGTTGTAATTGTAAATGTTAATCCTGACATTCTAGGCATCGCTTGGCCACAGGCTAGGCAGCCTTCAGCTAGGCTGCTGCCCCTGCGAGGGCTTTTCCAGAGATGCACTTAAGACTGCACCTCCCCCCCCAACCACTGCACAGACCTTCCCAGCTTCCCCACCTAGGAAAGGAAAGCTAGCTTCCCCAGCACTTAACAATTTGCACTTCTCGCCATGGCCTCCCATGATAAGAAACGTTCCTGCTAGAAACTATGTATTGAATTTGGCAGGTTAATGACTGGGGTGGGTGGGTAGGGGGCAGGAGAGCTCTCCTTAATTGGGTTGCAAGAGCATGGGAGAATCACAACTCCATGAACAAAAATATGCACTTGTCTCCCTTCTGATCTTAATATTGAGCCTTATTTGCACACCATCCAGAATCGCACACCTGCAGAGTGAAACATAAGCAAACAGCATCTCTCACAAATAGAAAAAGCGACAGCTGAGAGGCTGGATGCACCGTATTACCATGATAGACATCTCGGGCAGCGCCACAGACTCTGGGCAGCACATGCAGCCCACTGGACAGATTTTGCCCATGTGTGCATTCTTGGTCTAGACAGCATCTTCCGGATGCTCCCCCAAGCCTGTTATTCTGAAGCACTTTTCTACACTCTTCCCCTAAGAGGAATAAATTAATTTGAATGGGGTCTCCATAAAGGCAAGAGACCATTGGGACCTAGCTCTGCCCTATCCCACAGGGAAAGGGACAGGGCCAACCATGGTGCTAAGAGCAGATGATGTGCCAAGTCCTGCCCACACCATTGCAGGTGGGAAAGACACACACACACACACACAGAGCAAAAGCACAAGCTTCCCTAAAGGCTATCCTGGCCAGGCCTGGGTTCCATGTGGCCCACTTCTCCACTAGTAGTGGGGGCAGAAGCTGCTAGCTTCATGGTGAAGCTTTGGAGAAGTTGGCCATAGGCACCAGCCCCGTCTCCAACTCCAAGGCTTTTCTCCCTAACACAAAGCAGGGCCTGTGCTGCCTCAGATGGGTAGGAGGTACTAATGGTTCCGTCTTTCGGCCTCACCGTCCCGTGTTTCCATGTCAGTGTTGCTGCCTGCACTTTACCCCCTAGAAACGCCTGGGTGGAGGAGACAGGAGACCCTGGCAGCCACAATCCTGTCTTGTACCCTGATGCCAATTCACTTAACCAATGCCAAACAGTGCATGTCGGGGGGGGCGCCCCTCAGCTCCCAGCCGTGCACGATTGCTGCGGTGTAGCCATGGTGCCAACAGCAAGGGCACACCTGGCTCCTACCCACGTGGTACCTGTTCCAGCCAGTGGCATGGGCATAGCAGCCAGCGTTCAAGTGCCAAACGTCTGCATCGTGAGCAGTTAAGAGGGAGAGGGGGGACAGATGGCTCCATGCCATGATGGTACTTTTGCCCTAAGCCACCAGCCCCCAGACCTTCCCTCCTCTGTGCCGAGGCTGCACTATTTAATGCATGGTTCCGTGTCTGTCCTTTCCTCCTGTATCCAAGGCGGCAGCTAGCATTGCCGCCTCATTGTTCATAGCAATAATTGTGACGCGTCTCCCATACTGTGACTCTTCCAGTTGTAGATTTTTAAAGTCTGATAGATTTTAATGAAATTTATATTCCTGAACCTTGGGTGGTACAGTTCTTTGGGGTGCGTGGAGGAATGGGGATGGTGTGGGTTGGGTTCACAGCCTCACTGCCACAAGGCCCACTGCCCTGTGTTGTGGAAGGAGGAGAAGAGCATCTCACTGGCATAGGTCCCACTTGCAAGTAGTTTATCTGCATTCATGGGTTGGGGAGGTTGTGTGTATGCATTTCTTTGCCTTTTCACTTTCCCTGGAATCCCATTGACCCTGTTCACAAGGATGAGCAAAAGGCAACAGCAGCAACTCTTGAGGCACAGGATGCTGCAGGGCTGGGTCCCTTGGAGACCCTGCAGCAGGGGAGCGGGAATTGAGGTACTTAAGGGAAGGCGGCAGCTCTCCATTCCCTAGCTGGGTCCTTTGCATCGCAGCAGCCGAGTGCGAGGGCAGAAGCGGGGCACTGGGCATGGCTCTGTAGGAGGCGTGGGGTGGAAGACATGGTCCAACCCTGCTACTGCCAGCCCGCAGGCTGAAGCAATCCTGCCCCCTTTCAGAGGCACTGGCAGCACAGGTCTGGGCAACAGAACATCATTGTCCTTCCTGGCTTGGTTGGGTTCCTCACCATCCCGCTGCGACCATCCATAGGACCCTCGTGCTGAGTGGCCCCGCCGGGGTAGTGCCTGATGGCATAAAGGAGAAGTCTGGTCTCTGAGAGTTGGTGAAGAAGCAGGACTGATCTCTCCAAAGCTTGGTCCTTTTGCTGAACCTCTTAAGCCACTGCAAAAGGAAAGGAAGGGGTTACCAAGAGGCAGGAGGTGTTGCCCAAGCATCTTTCCATGTAAAGCATCAAGGACAGAAAAGCCTTAGTCATTACAGCAGAACTAATGGGTCCTGCACAGAACAAACTCCAGAATTTTTACTTAAAATATTGCAGGTATGAGACCATACAGCACAAAGAGCCAGCAAGATGCCCCCTCTAGATGTTAGACTCCCAACAGCCCCACTTGGAGGGCACCGCATTGGTGACCCCTGCCACAGAATAATAAACCAACCCTGAACTATGCTTGCACCTCTCTGCTGCAGGCGCCAGTTTGACAGCTACCCCTCAGTTATAATATTATGCAGTTCCATGGTATCATAGCTTTGGTGCTTGCAGGCTCACCTGAATTGCGGCTGGTAGCTGCTACTCCCAAGATGTTTCGACATCAGGGAAGGGCTGGTGCCTGGCTTAGGCTGGCTTAGCTGCAAATCCCGTTCCATGGCGCGCTTCTCCTCTTGTAATTCTGTGGAGAGAAGACCCTATTTCATGGGGATTGGGGGAAGCAACAATCATGAAGAGCATTGGGGCTGGCACTCACAAAGAGACCATGCCCCACTGCAAATACCACTCCTTGGCAACACCTGCCTAAAGATGATGTCTGTAGGCACCATCATGCTGCATCCCTTCCCCAATTCCCAGCCTGGCCTTATCCGAGACTCGGGTTCTGCATACCAGCCATGGTGGGCTCATGTGTTGCCTCTAGCAGCTCTGTAGCGTGCTGATGCGCCTCCTCCAGTTGGCACTGTGGAACATGAAAAATGCTATAGGAAACACAACACAGAAGAAAGAAGCTGCTCCTTTAACTATACCATTTCTCTTAAAGATGTACATGTCTCTGCTTAAAGGTTTTCCTCGTGTTGGAAAGTCTTCCCGTATTAAATACCTTACTTTTCCTCCCAGCCTTCTAGTTGCCCCAGTCACTGCAGAAAGCTAATGGATAGGCACCAGCGTATCCAGTCCCTTCAGCTGAAGATGCTCATTTCATATTCTTCTGGAAAACAGTCTGTCAGGTTGCTGACTTAGAAACTTAGTGGGCTGACTTAATAGGCTCTCATTTGCTAGAGGTTTTTAAGCAGAGGCTAAATGGCCACTTCTCAGGGATGCTCTAGCAGTGGGTAGCCTACATTGATGGAGGTTGGAGTAGATTATCATTGGGATTAGATGATCATTCCAACTGCAGTTCTACGATTCTTTTGACCCTGATTCTGCAGTCACAAGTCACTGATTTCATAACTTGGCAGCTCTCAGCACTATGGGTGTACTGCTGCAAAGGTGTGTTTTTTAATAAATAATAATAATCAGACACTGGTGACAGGAAGTACTCTTGCCGCAGTCCTGCTGCCCAATGTGATGGTGTTTTCACATCCAAATCATCATAACAGTTTTCCTGCCACTCACATCTTTCCTCAGCCCCTCCCTGTCCCCCAGATTTGGGAAGGAGACAAAAAAGCTAGCTATTTGGGCAATTGTAGAACTGGTATGGAAGCCAAACACCCTTGTCACTTCTCTCAAGAGTTCTGACCGAAGGCCTGTCCACACTCTGTTCTAACCCAGGCTGCCATAGCCATGGGAACAGCTTTGTAGATACAGCTCTGAGACCAAGCTCCTATGTATGTGGGCAGGAGGGAAGACATGAGAGCAGTAATACTAGAACTTCGGTCCATCCAATGAAGAAGATGGTTGCAACATTCAGGACAAACAAAAGTAACTATGGAATTTGCCCCCATGAGATATAGGGGTGGGTGCCAACTTAGATGACGTGCCGTGGGGATATCCTGCATGCAAGTTTTCTATAAGCATCTGTGAGAACAGGGTGCTAGACTAGATGGGGCTTTGGTCAGATCCCACATTGCCTTGCCTCTGTTCTTACACAATAGTCTCGAAGGGCTGAGGAAATGTTGCCGCAGATGCTGCACCCAAGCTGCAACAAAAACCAGTCTCACAGACCTATTGGCCAAAACTTGAAGCAGATCCTTAGAAGTGCATGGGAGAAACACTGCTTATGAGGAACTCTAGAGACCCTCCTTGAGATGAGAAGGGTTTATTCCATACCTGTAAATAGGGGATGTATCTTTCCAGATCACAGCACTCATCCTCTAGCAAGGTTCTAGGAAAAATAGTACAGCCAGTGAGACCCAAAGGAGGTGACACATTTGGGACAGAAAGCAATTGCCAGCACTGCAGACTTGGTGTCTCCACATCTTCCTCACTTTTTGTTTACGTTCCCAATGTAGGGGCTGGCAATTCAAATGAAAGTTAGATGTGAGGATAGCCACCATCTGCTTGCAGTGGCAGCTCATGTTGCTAGGGATGAGAAGAGAAAACCACGCTACTTTGAAGCAGTTCGTAACTAGGCACAAGTATCTCTAATGCCGACAGTGTTTCTAAACCTTGTTTTGTACTCTGCTGCTCTCCTTGTTCAGAGTTCCCCAAGTTCCTGGCTGGTGAACACTTTCTGGCATTTCTGGGGGTGGTCTTTAGTAAGATCCCTTCAATAACTATACATACTGCCTGGAATATGCAGGATGCCAGTGGCACAAGATGGAAGAATCTTTACAAAGCCCTTTGTGTGTTCCCCACTGGAGACTGCACTGGGAGCCAAGACTATGTATGGCTTAGACACCCCACTCCTGTGTTGCTTCTTGACCTTCTCTTGAGGTTCCCACCTTTTTATGCTATGCCCTTCCCACCAAGTTCTGCCACAACTGTTGTTTGATCTGCTTCACTCCTTGCAATTACACAGAGCAAAATGTGCCATAGAAATTATATCTGTACCCAGAGGAAGTTTGGAAAGAGACTCTTGCCCCTCCTTGTCTTCATGATTGTGGTACAGGCCAGACTGGGAGACAGCTGGTGGGGAGAGTTAGAAGGTAGAATACAAGCTGCTTGGGTCCATCTGCACACATTTTCACACAATGCCATCCCCAGCTTCCCTTCTGTCTCTGCAGTGAGTTTACTGTTCTCAGACACAAGGTCTTCTGTTATATCTGCCTTCCAGACACCTGCAACGGATACCTGTAACCCTCTTGTGCCTTCTTCCCTCTTACAATATTTGTGCAAATAAAAAACCTAATAGAGCAAAAACTTACCGAAGTTGAGAGGCTACCTCACTGATATGGGCAATATTCAGTTTATTACAGAACGATTCCAGATTAGCGGTTCTGGAGAATAATGGCCTAAGGAAACAGAAATTGGGTGAGACTTGCATTTTCCTGTCACCAGATGGGCTTGATGCCTGCAACTGGGCATTCCTGCACTAAACAAAGCTTGAATGGGACACTGGCACAAGGATCAGGTAACAGAATTTGGTTGGGGATGTCAGTCATTTTCTTTCCAGGACCCCTAGTCTCTTTCAATGAGTTGTACTCCCATCCTCTCTGTATGGCTGTCACAGGACAGGGATTCATCAAACTGAACTAGCATGCTTCTTAGGACTCAGACACAGAACATTAAAATCACAGACCATGCCCCAGTAGAAGCAACCCTCATAATAGGAGAGGAAGCATAAACTACCCAATCATGGTCCTTCAGCCCCATCCTAACCACAAACAAACTACCTAGAGTCTCTTGAAAACTCTCCAAAACTACTTTAAGGACAACAATGTGGACGACATTGCAACCCCACTTCTCTAGGACACAATGAAAGTGGTCATCAGAGGAGCTTACATAAAGGAGAGGACATACCTTAAAAAACAAACTTCCTCAAAAATTGGTAAATTAGAACAAGACATTTCAACCTTGTCATAACACTACAAACAAACAGGAGCCTTAAATTCATAGAACAAAAAAGAAGGGAAACTGACTCTCCAGAAATAAATAAAACAATGATTAACATCCTATACCCTAAACAATGCTTTTACGAATATGGAGGGAAGAACTCCAGACTATTAGCGAACAGATGTGGGGGGGGGGGGAATCACTCAAAACAAGTATACACTGTGTCACTATAAAAGACGGTAGTGTTAACATCCTCCACCAAAGAAATAACCTCAGAATTTTATGCCAACTTATACACCTCCCGCAACCCACCTGAACAGGAAATCAGAAGATTCCTAACAGGGCTGACCATGCCAACCATAACTGCAGAGGAACAAAAATTCATGGGGACACCATCGAAAACATCCCCGCAACAGCACACCCATTTCTCCAAAACAAACTATAGTAAATCCCCACAACACTGATGCAATCAAACAACAATGGGAGCATGATATAGGCTATGAAATTAACCCCACCCAATGGACTAGAATGTGGTCTATACCTCCCTTTAAGTCCATATCAGCCAAAAGAAGGGAACTCACTCTGAAACTCACCTACAGGTGGTACTTAACACCACAGAAACTGGAGCTGATATGCCCAGGAATCTCACCAAGATGTTTGAGAGACTGTACCTCCGCATACCAACCTGCTCTTGGTTTCTTCAACTAGATATAAAAGGAAAGCATACTAGGGGTGGGATTCACCTACATCTCTGTCAGTGGAAGCCCTGCACAAAGATTTCTGCTTGCTCAGTGAGTCTCCCCTCCCCACCCCATTGATATTGCCCCATCTTTGCTGGCTAAGTCTGTAATTTCACAGCTTCTCTGACTTAACATTAAAGGTTCTATCCAAAATGGACACTTATAATTTAAGTGGGCACACCACTGCCAATTCTACATATGAATAATATGCATATCTATATAAATAATACAAGCACATTTCTAGATTAATACCACTATGGGACTGAAACCAGCATGGAGGCCAACTCATTGCAAGTCCCCGCTCCTGGAACTTGTATGAGGATCAAATGAGATAACAGTGATCAGTCCCAAACTGCCCATAGATGCAAAAAGAACCAATCACTGCTAGGTTGCTAAGTCTATGGCATATGGCACTCTGTGGTGTTAGGCTTCCTACAGACAAAATCAGTCCTGGATTCTGAGACCTCCTGTGGTGATACAGTTCATGGTGTTCCGGGTAAGAACAAGTCACAGCCCAGAAGTTCATTGTGTGGAGGCTGCAGCTTCCTTCAGTCTTACCTGATTAGGGCACTGCTCCCAGATGAAGACTGACTATTGCCAGCATTTGCCTTCAGTGCAAAGGTGACCACATGAGGGCTGTATTTAGCGATGGCACAATCTTGGTTCCTGTGAAGCAGAAAACGTACAGCCATAAGGCAATTGTTCATCCCCAGTCTTTGGGCTGACAAGGACAAGAGAAGACCAGTTGGTGGCAGTGCTGGGTCACAAAACCACCCAGTAGCTGGAATGAATAGAAGCCTAAAAGGAAAAACAAGCTGGACTAAAGAGCCCAGTGAGGTCCAACTGTCCATACAAAGTAGACCACTAAAGTAGTTTGACACAGAACCAATAGAACACATACTGTATTGTGCGGTGGGGAGACTGAGGCAAAAATTTGATGCCACCCCCCCCCAGTCCTTGCCCTGCCTTCCCAAAGCCAGCTAAGTGAGACAACAGGCTTTGGGAGGGTCCTAGAGCACTCCAGGGAAGCAGCAATTAGGCTTTGGGCAGGAGACAGGAGGACTCTAGGACCCTGCCAGAGCCTTTACACCTCCTTCCTAAGCCTAGTGCCTTGCTTATCTGGCTTTGGGAAGGCAGCATGAGGGTTGGGGAAGGTGTCAAATGTTGCCCAGGGCCAACAAAACAGGCCTTGAGGGCTACATGCAGCCCTCAGGTCATTCATTGGACCACCCAGTTCTAGGCAGCACACAGGGAGCCATGGCCTGTGCTCATGTCAATGTAGGGAAATTCAACAAGAGGGGAGCTATTTGAAAGTAAGTAAACAAATGCAGAATTTCAGGTTGTGACTGAGAGATAGTAGAAAGGTTTGAAGGGTGTGAAGGGATTCTCCTATATGGCAACATGGTACAAACAACTCCAGCAGGAGGAGTTTAAGAGCTCATCCCTTACTAGCCAGCCTGTTCTAATCCGTGCCTTCACTGAGCTATTCATTGGTTACACAGGGCTAAGGCAGGGAGCAAATCCTCAGGCAAGGGTTCCAGCAGGTGCTGATCCCAGTGCTCACTCGAATGAATGCTCACTTTGAACTTCGAGGTGGGACATAATCCCAGCCTCAGGCTATGGACTGAACACACCATAAAAAACAAATGCACTAGCAGGACTGGCATTCTTGATAGAGGCGCTCAGCAGTGTGATTCCTGCATAATGTAAGGGAGCTAAGTGGGAATGACAAAGGCTATATGATTGAGACCCAAAGAATGGGAATGTAAGGCTGGAATTAATTCTACAGCTAAAGACTAGAGAGACACACAAACTGACAAGCTGCACTTGAATGGGGAGCGCACGTTACAGATGGAGGTGTGTGGTGCAAACATATGTTTGGCACAGGTTATTTTTGCTGGACATCTGAGTGGCAATCATGTTGAAACTATACTGGAACTGCCAATTAAATTGCATTGGAGCTGATATTTCCTAATAAGCATTTCTGGAACAGTCACCCTTAAAAGGCAAAGGGAGAAAGAATACTGTGTCAATAGTGTAAATATATAGTTTAGTCGCTAGGTGGCACTGGACTTATTTATACCTGAGTGGAATCAGAGGTTTCCCCCATCCTGTTCTTGTTAAGAGAGACAATCAAGTTATTGTCTAGCCTCCTAACTGATTTGTCCCATGAAACTCTAAGCCTCTCGTAACAAATAGTTATGGCTTCCTCAATCTAGACTGCTTTGGCCAAAAGATGATGTAAAACTCACCCATTCCGCACACATAAATACCACCAGCCACATCAGTTGGAAACTAATGGGCTCATTCTTATATCAAATAGGCTTCAGGTCTTAATATAGTCTGCTTGCTTTTCTTCTATCCCTACTACCTGCTCCCCCTCAACTCAGCCCTTAATTCTCTCAAGTCCCTTCTCTTCCAATCTCCAGTACCTGCCCTCCTGCGATGCCTTCTGCTGTAGGCCAATTAGAAGAAGGCGGATCTCCTCCCTCACCAGTTCCTTGAGGTTGGGGGGAGCTGCCAGCAAGGCCCAGCTGTCATCTGCTTGCAGTGGGCTTTGCTCCACTCCAAGGTGGCCTGACTGCAACTCCTGATGTAATTCCAACAGTGTCCGCACCTGTAAATAGGGAAGGGGTTGGACTGCATTAGGGACAGTGCATTGCCACATCCAGAAATTCACACATGTGCACATTGACACAAACTGCAGTAACTTTCTCAAAGTAATCTTTCCCCCACCCTCCACCTCCCCAAATGATGAAGCACTGACACAACCTAAAAATACAAGTTGCACTCCCATTCCCAGTATTGGTATTCTGCACACCTGGAAATCAAGCCAGGTGCCTGCCTGCAAGAAAAGAAAATCAATACCTAGCCATGGGTTAGTTACTCATCTGATGGTAGACAATTACATTTCATAAAGGCCACAGTCAGGGAACTGACAACTTTTCGGAAGTATGTCATCCATCAAGGGAATAAAAAATGCTTCAAATGTGATAAATGTGTGTGAGAGCACACTGAATTCAGTAAAACGTTGCATCTGCCCAAAAACTGGGAACAGTCTATGAGGCTATTAGTTTATGTGAAGAGTATTTTAGGATTAAGAGTGAATTTTTTAGGTTTTAAAAAAAACAACTCTTTTGCAGAAAGTGGGCAAAGTTGTCTGCAGAAGATAAGAACACCAGCCAGGACACTGTCATTCCAATGTAGTTGGCAAGAGGGCACTGCATTGTTGCCGTCTGTACACTCCATAAAAGGTGCAAAGCTGCAGACAGCCCACCCACAATCATTCTCTCCCTCCCCCCATGAGGAAAGTCAAGGTCATGCCGCAAAAATATCTGCAGGATATTTGTAAGGCAAGCGAGCACCAGAAATCCCTTTCTGGCCCCACACATCCACAAGAGGAACGTTATGCTACAGCTGCTTCCCTGGGCGGCCTCTCAGATATCCAATTGGGGAGGGGAGCAGAGACACATACAAGAACACAGCAGGGAGACAGGCAGTACCTGGGCCACATTTATCAGGCTTGTGATGAAGAGGTAATAGACAGCCAGGTGAGAGACCCCATAAAGGCTGGGGAGGGGGTCACTGGTCACAATGTTGGGGGGGGGATCTCAAGCAAAGCTCTAACATGAAGAAGTGATAGAGAGAAAAAGGTGCCATCTTGTCAGGGTGTGCTGTGCTTGCTCTTCTGGTTTCAGGAGGAAGTAAGGCAATTACCATGTGAAAAGCCTCTGGGATGTTTACTGTTCTTCTCAGCTGCAGTCAGGACCATGCTGAATAAAGAAAGGGCATGAATGGCTGGAGGAGAACAAAGGGCCTGGAATAGCATGGATTAGGGGCTCTGGCCAAGCATTAGGAACCAGCTGAGCTGGGAGCTGGCAAATGGGGGCCTTGTCAAACAGGGAGGGGGTGGTTGCAGTATTTTATCCCCTCCTTGACTTGCCTTCTCAGATATGCTTTCCTTTCACTGAAATCAAACAGCACTCAAAGCAGATGTAAGTGGCAAACCAGAGGTTTTTTCCATACACACATGAATGCTACTCTATATGAAAATGCATGTATGCAAAAACTAGTGGCCAGTGCTCAGTGGAAGGGGGCTTAATACAATTTATAAGCCCTCCCTTAGCGCCGCTCAATTTTAGCACTCAGTCCACTCCACTCAATCTATAGACATGAAAGGCGGGCCCTTTCATCAGTCAAATCCCCTTACAAATTTAGTGCTGCCTCTTTAGCTGATGAGACCTAGATTTTATGCTTTATTCAGATATCCCTTTGTCACCAGCCACTTCTAAATTGTGTAGTAAGAGGGGTGGTTGGTTGGTTTGTTCTGCTCTTTTGTGAATCATTTTGAATAGGAGATCCAGTATTTCGGTACTTAACCTCAGCATGAAGTTCCAAGCTCCGTTCCACAAGGCCATGACCCAAGATAGCTTTCGCCTCAAGCCTCTCACTGGGTGCTAATTGTTCCTCTACCATTGTCCAGAGTGATGGTACGGACTGCAAGGATTCCCCAGATGCACCAGGCAAGGGCAACATGGGTGCTGTATCCGATTCCACGATAATGGGCTTTAAAGGAAAAAAAGATTGTGCCAATGAGACAGTGAGTAGAAGCTCCACATCACAACTATTCGGTGCCACATGCAATGGTGCACCTAGGTAATTTTAGACACTGAACTTAATGGTTTTACACATGGGCTGCTGCCCTCCCAAGATTCACAAATATTATTGAAAAGCATTGAAAGTATTCAATTATCTGAGGTTCTGCCCCCCCCAACAGAAACCTGGCCCCCCGCAATGTCCTATTTATGAGGTATTTTTACCCATGATTTCCCAAGAAAAGCTCAATAACTTTGTCCCTCCCCAACTAAAATCCTGGCCACATCCATGGTTTTACACCCCTCTCCCATTAGGGACGTGGGTGGCGCTGTGGGTTAAACCACAGAGCCTAGGACTTGCCGATCACACAGAGCCTAGGACTTGCCGATCAGAAGGTTGGCGGTATTGAATCCCCGCAACAGGGTGAGCTCCCATTGCTCGGTCCCTGCTCCTGCCAACCTAGCAGTTCGAAAGCACGTCAAAGTGCAAGTAGATGAATAGGTACCGCTCCGGCGGGAAGATACCATAAATGCCACTTCTGTGCGCTGCTCTGGTTCGCCAGAAGTGGCTTAGTCATGCTGGCCACATGACCAGCTGTACGTCGGCTCCCTCGGCCAATAAAGCGAGATGAGCGCCGCAACCCCAGGGTCGGTCACGACTGGACTTAATGGTCAGGAGTCCCTTTACCTTTTACCCATTAGACAGCCACACATATTACATTTGTCAGTTGTCAGTTGTAAGGTAAGCCATTCCCATGTTTTATAACTGCTCCTACATTCCTGATACATTAGCACAATAGATAAATGGTTGTGAAATACTCTGAGCATGTAAGTTTCACATTCTAAACTCACTTAAGTCATAGCACTAGCATTACAGGAATACAATGGAATTTGCTTCTGCTGCCCTGATGTTAAACACATTTATTGGGCGGGGGGAGCACCAAGGATGAAAGTAAAAGTAAAAAATAGAATCGAGTGCCATGTACATGCCTGGCTAACCACCCTCTGACTAAAACTGTTGTAGAAAATAAGGATGCCGCTGTGACTACCATCAGCGCCAATAGACCACAACATGCCCATGCCAGCCCAGGTGCTGCCACAGGTCGTTTGTTCCTGACTCCATCACCTGACACTCTCTAGATGGCCATTTGAGGCGCCCCATTTTTGTGGTGCTCTGTGCTTTCCCCCTGAGTTGCACTACTGTCTACAAATCCTGTTACTTGCACTCACCTTTCTACCACGTGGGTCACCAGACAATAAGAGCATATAATTTTTCTTGCTCCCCATATACCAAACTCATCCCCTCACATTAACCTCGAGAGTCACACTAATTCCGTTAATCGTAATTATTATTAATCATTATTATTATTTATTTGTACCCCGCCCATCTGGCTGGGTTTCCCCAGCCACTCTGGACGGCTTCCAACAAAAATTAAAAATACATTAAAATGTCACACATTAAAAACTTCCCTGAAGTTTGTCTTCTGAATGTCAGGTAGTTGTTTATAGCCCCAAATGTAACCTATTGCCCATTATACCTCCCCATAGTTGCTCCCCAGTGCTTAAGTCACCTACGTCTCGGCCCACCGAGCCCACTTCCGCCCCAGACCTTTTACTCTCCCCACACTTCCTCACTCCCTACGGACTCACGGACACAACTCTACGGTAGCCCTCACCTGCGACACCGGGCGGAGGGGCGGAGGGCCAGGCGTCTTGCCCTATCCGAGCCCCCTCCACCCTCTAACTCTCTGGAATATAAACTCGCCGTCTCCATGGTAACGCCCCGCCGCGTTCCTCTGAAGCCTCGCCTCTTAAAGGAGCCGTGCCCACGAGGCAGACAGGATGTCGGTCGAGCGTGGAGACGGGCGTCCCGGGGGAAGGAAGCGTGCGCGTTGAAGCTCTTGGCGCGCCCGCGCTTGCACCCAAGCAATCGGAGGTAAAGAGAAGCCACACGTCGGCCAGTTTTCATCCAGGAGGGGTCCCACTGGCTTTACGCTTTGGCAACAGTACAGTATTGAGAAACTTCTTTCTTTGCCTATTAATGTTCCTAGGATTAAGATGGGGGAGGGAGAGATCCAGCGCCGCGCGTGTTTTGGAGGCCGCGGAGACTGGGAACTGGGGAGACGCAACTTTCGCTGCCCGGATAAGTGTTCGAGGGGTCTGGAGAGGGAGCACAGTGGACTTGTCTTAGCAGGCTTTTCCTGAGGTGCAGATAGGGGGCCAGGTCCCTCCCACCGCCCCGGTCCCGCCCGCTCAGTTGGGGAGGGGGTGCTGTGCCCCTGGGCGGGCTCGGGTTGCAAGAAGGGGCGGGCCGGGCCGGGCGGCGGCTGCACAAAGGCCGAAGCACGCCAGGGCGGTTCTTAGCCGCAGCTTCAGCAGGCAACCTCCCGGCGGGACCCCGCGGGCGGCGTTGGGGCGGACTGGATGCCCACTTTCCCCGCCAGCTCTCCTCCGCTTCGCTTCCCTACCGCTGCTGCTGCTCTGCTCCTCCCTCTCGCCAACTCCCATGCCCGGCATCTGTCCCTCGAGTTCAGCGATGCCCTTTCCGTTGGCACAGCTGAGCTTAGCGCTGCTGCTGCTGCTGCTGACTCTGGTGCCCATCCCAGGACTGGCAGGGCCAGTGACCACGTGCAATGCCAACGGGAGCCTGTACTACGTTGGGGAGTGGTATTTCCTGGACAGTGACCACTGCACCCAGTGCGAGTGCACAGCGGAGGGGCCCGCCTGCGCCCGCACGGACTGCACCGCTCTGCCACCTGCCTGCATTCACGTCAGCCACTACCCCAGCGACTGCTGCCCACGCTGCGAAAGGGTTGGCTGTGAGCACCGTGGACAAGTGTATGAGCTGGGGCAGCATTTCCAGGTAAGGCATTCACGGGAGAATTAGGCAAAGGGGTGGCATGGGGGTGGCATGAGAAGGAATCTAGAGCGAGGTGGGCAGGGATGGATATGTGATGGATGGCAAAGTGAGGATATTCAAAAGCAGGAGAAAAGGCGAATGCTCCTGAAAAAGGCACTGTGTAAGAATCGCAACCCGTCACTTTTGTTTCTTAAATCTTGTTCTGAAAAGGAGGCCTAGGCAGGAGAGTAAGAGACTGGAAGCAGGAATGCTGGCTGTGTCTTTATAGTTTGTTCATTACTGGCTGAAGCAAAAGAAAAGACAAACAAAACTAATAAATTGCATTTTTCCAAAGTGGGCGAGAAGCACCAAATCAAAAGTGCTCTATGAAGCTGGAGGTGCTCTTAAGATGTTCCCATAAAACCTCTTTGATAATTCAGAAGGCAATTTTATTGGCTGTAGTCCCTAGCTGAGCATCCTTTGACTAACTGAATTGCATTTTCATCCATTTCTTAGGCCTGACATTGACCAGTTCAGCACCTTGCTTCTGGCTATTGTCTGTTGCTGCCAAAAATGTGTGTAGTTTATTTTAGGACTTGAGTCAGACCAAACAATCTCTAGCATGGCTGACTTGGACAATTGAGGGTGGGTGGGGAAAGGAGTATTTTTGGCACTAAGCCTGCACTAGCCAAAGGGAGTCAAATTCTGGCCCTGAGGCTACAGGTGGAAGATCAAAGCCCTCCATTCCTGGGCTCCATGCCTCTTTGAACAGCATGAATTGAGTGTTTGCAAAAAATAAGTGTATTGATGAAGAAAGGACCAGTTGCTACATATAGTCAAAGAATGGGCAGTGGAGTTCTTCCTAGGTGAATTGTCTGTTACCTAAACATCAAATTATTGTGTGTCTGTTTGATGACTTATCTATTGGCCTGTCCCATTTACCCAAACACAAAATTCTATTGAAAGGTACACAAAAAGTAACTGCTTTCTGCAAAACCATACTGAGCCATGATTTCCCCCCAAATAATAACTTTATTGTGGCCAACCAAAATATCATAAAATAGCAAGCAAGCTTTTATCCAGAACCATTCAGCTGGGGCGTAATTTGCCCTAAAATACTTTGCTCACCCAAACCGGACTTCCGGGTTGACGCGATCTGGAAATGGCGGATTCCCTCCGAGCTCCGGAGGGAATCGGCTCCACTGAGGATGGGTCTTTGCCGCGCCGGCGACGCGGGGACCCTTAAAAACCGCAGGCGCGGAAGCCTGCGGACTGAAGACTCGGCGGGTGCCTTAAGCGCCCCCCCTGATTCGCAAAGAGCCTTTTTAAAGGCTGCGGAGGGGATACGGGGGTGGCGTGGCACTGAGAGTCGATCGCTACCTCGGTGGAGCGAAGCCGCGAGCCATGACCGGAGAGCGTTGACTTCCTTCCTTGAAAATTTGGACTGAAAGAATCACCCGTGAGTAAGACGGATTGGGACCTTTGAAAAATTTTACCTTTAATTGGAGACGACCGGGGGGTGTGCTAAAAGGAAGTCCGCACCCCCCCCTTGCAGACCATCTAAGCAACGACACAAGAGATAAGCTGGAGAGCCTACCCTTGGTGGGGTGAGTTAAAAAGGACACTAACTTTCAAGATTTTACTAAAGGAAAATTTTGTGCAGGAGAGTGGAGTTTTGGAAACCTTTCTTCTGTTTTAAACAACCCCCCCTCCCGGGCTCGGGAACGTCCTGCCTTCGTGCCTGCGTTAGAGCTGCGGAGTTTGACAGCTGTCAAAGCTGCCAAACGGGCGGTTTAAAGTGAGAAATTGCCATTTAAGATTTTTATGGACTAAGACGAGTTATAATTGAGCTGAAAATGTTGGAAACAAAGTAATAATAATCAGTTTAAGGATTGTTGGTGAAAAGGCAAATAAGTAACCAGATTCCCCCTAGGGGGAACTCTGTGAAACTACAATGGATACAATGGCTGTGGAAGGAAAGTTACTAGTGGAAATCGAAAGGATGTTTCAATTGGTGGGAATCTTACAGGAGCAGAGTTTGGCCATGAACAAACAACTTGAGACTATGACCTTGGGAACAGGCAACTCTGCTCTTTGTATTGAGGACCTTAATGAGAAAGAATCCACAGCTGATTGGGAAACAATATCTACAGAGCTGGAAGAGACTAAACAACAAGAAAAAGAAGAAGTAATCCTGGGAAGTAATAACCAAAAGTTGACATCTGTGGAATACAAGCAAGGAGACGCTGGGAACATATTTACCACAAGTCTGCGAGAGATACAGAAGAAGAAGGAGGAGGCCCCAAGACAAAATGGAGTACAGGAATTTAAAATAAAGAAATATGATTGGGGCCTCCGTTTGGACTTAGACTTGGAAGAGATAGACTTTGTGGAAATACTTCAGCAGCCACCTTTGAATCTTCTTGTTGGAAGAGGACATACTTTGATGGTGAAAGAACTTTTCCCAGATTTGACGACTGCTGTAAAGGACTACCAACAGGACAGGCGGAGAGGAACGGAAATAGATTTGAAAGCCTCGGACGTGAGGAACCCAGGCTGAGAACTTCGAATTTGGATTTTTATTGGGAAGGGACAAAAACCGGGGATGGGAGGGAGGGAAGAAGAGACTCTTAAAAACTCTCAAGACTTTTAGGTTTGGTTAAGATGACTCTTAATTAAGATAAAATGAAAATCGATGGAAGAGAACTTAAGTCCAACTTATGAAAACTAATTTTTATTATAAAAAAAAGGAAATAAGATGAATAAGATTGTTAAGAGGAGAAATATCAATTTGCTGACATAATCTTGAAACTGGGATGCATTAGGGGGGGTGGGGGGAAGTCAGGGAACAAGGTTATGAAATGGGGATTTGCTGACTTTATACATGTTTTTGTCTTTGTTTTTCTTTGTGTATGTTTTGTCTTTATAAAAGCAGAAAACCAAATAAAAATTTTATAAAAAAAAAAAAATAAAATACTTTGCTCACCCAAACCTTCACAGTTCTTTACTAGGGATGGCCAGATTTTGCTCTAGGTCCAGAACATCTGGGTTGTGGATACAGTAATATAGGGCTGCTTTCCAACACTTCCTGGAACTACCGGTAGGTTATCTTGCATTTGCTTACAAGCAAGACAAGTGCTATAGATCTAGAGAGAGAAAAGTTCTGTAATTAGGAAGGGTAAACACTTTCCTTTGTACTGTAGGTTTGTAGTAAGAACAAGATATCAACTTGCCAGTGAAGTTGTGCAATCTCCTTCCTTGGAGTTATAAAGATGATCATGGACAATTATATCATTAAGATATGATTTTTGGTGTTAAATGTTGATGTCGTCTTCCAGCTTTGTTATTTTAAAGTATTGTGACGAGTGATCTAGAGCAAGTGACCAATGTTTTTATTTGCAACCACTTGAACTTCAGTGGAGCCCAGTCTTTATCATCACCCACCCTGAAGGTGTGAAATCAGACAACCAACCTATTAGTTCAGGAGGGAGGGAATTTGACAGAAGGTAGAATCTTGGAACTTTCCCCTTAGGGCAGAGAACAAAAGCATGTGGCTTGGCTAGAATTAGCCTCATGTTTTGCAAGTAAGAAGGTGAATGAGAGGTGAGGTGCTGAAAATGACTTCAGTCTCCTTTGCTGGATATTTTAAGGAGGAGCTTGATTGGGTAATGGGTTCCAAAACACATTCATGGGCCTTTTTAGCATATTGGGATCCCTGATGGTTCTGCACTACTGGGGACGATCTCTCTCTCACTCACAGTTTTCTCTATTCAACATTTTCTTATGACCAGTCAGTTTCCCCAGTGACCAGCTGCATGATTATTTGAGAGTAATCTTGAGTTGGCCAGAGCTGACAAGATACACAAAGTCAAGGGAGATTGGGACAGAAGCTTTTTCTCCCTCATTGTCTATCAATTCTTGGTTGATAGTGCCATCTGATGGTATAATCCCAGTACTGCCATGGCTATGCATTCAGTTTGGAATGCTTCTTCACACGTTACAAAAAAAGGAAGATGATGGGCCTTATATTTCTTTTGTGATCACTCCTTCCCCTGATACAGGTAAGCACAGATACAGGTAAGCAAAGATGCAGCCAGGAGCCTAATCCAATTAAGCATCTGAGGCATGAGTTTCCCACCTGCTTGCATACGCACATCTCTTTTTGCAAGTTACAGACAGAAGACATTCATTCTGGAACTACAAAATCCAGTCAATTCTGCAACATGGTGGTGTGGGATGGATGGGTAACCTATTTCTCTCAGCCTAATTTTATTAGGAGGAAAAGGGGGAGGGAAACAGGGTAGCAGAGGAGGTGCCCTACCCACTTTGACTCTGGACCAGCACACCACTGGCATGCAATTCTGAACAGATTCCCAAGGGAATGCAATTCTCAGAAAAGAATAAGCTTCTGCACCACTGATGCAAAATAGTTCTGGAGCTGCATCATCATAACCGTGTGCTGTCCACGTAAAGCTGCCTTGCAATATTGACCAATATTTGTCTCTCACAGCCCTCAGAGTGTGAGCAGTGTACCTGTGACCTAGATGGCATCGCTCGTTGCCTAGTGGCAGACTGCGCCCCTCCGCCCTGCGTCAATCCAGTCTACGAGAAGGGCCACTGCTGCCCCACCTGTGAGGATGGTGAGAAAGACACACCTTCACAGCAAGGGACAAATGTTCCACTTCACACTGTCCAGAAGGGGGGGATAACTTTGTCTCCCTCACAGTTCAGGGGCCCTGTCCTAATGGAGCTGGGAAGTGAGAGGAATTGGGCCAAGCTGACCAGACACAAGCTTGCTTAACTGAACAGGAAGCCTCCTACTTAGAAATGATGGTGGGACACCTGGTAGCCCCCACCTCATCTTGAAGGATTTGACAGTGTTTGGCCTTGTGTTAGAAGAGGGGCTCCCCCCAAAATGAAAAATATCCTCCTGGTACAAAAGCAGTCTCTAGCACAGAACCTGTGGATGAGGTGAGCTCCCGGTAGAGGATAGGGGTGCAAGGCTGGAGTAATAATAATTATAATTATATTATTTATACCCCGCCCAGCTGGCTGGGTTGCCCCCACCTACACACGTACTCTTAAACAGCTTGCCATTTCTGCTTCTAAGATTCATGATGAGACTTCTGCAAACAATGGCAGACTCTAATGCATGGACATGTCTCTCCACAGGGCCCAACTGCTACGTGGATGGGAGCCAGCGACGCGTAATTCCTGCTGGGGAGAGCATATGGGTGGGGCCCTGCACCCGTTGCCGCTGTCATGATGGCCAGGACGCCGGTTACTGGGAAGGAAACCGCTTAGCTAAATGCGAGCGGCTACGGGGATGCCGGGCTACAGGTGCACATCACACCTGAGCTGCTCCAAACCCCAAACAATTCCTGGGCCAGCCATTCATCAGCACTTGCAAGGCTTCTGCTTAGCCAGACAAGCCCTAGTGTGCCCTTACACCCAGCCCTGGCCCAACTCCTTCAACCATACACATAAGCAATTGCCAGTCGCAGCCCCCTTTCCAGATCTACCCCCTTTTCCTTGACAATGTCTAGAGTTATTATGCAGGGGAGTAGCTCATATGAGAAAGCCCGTTTTATTTAGGATGGGTGGGCAACCTGTGGCCATTCAGATGTAGTTGGACTCCCAGCTCCCATCAGCTGTAGCCAGCATGGCTAATGGTTAGGAATAATTTAGCCACATCTCGAGAGCCAGAGGTTCCCCATATGATTTAGGGAATCACCCCTCAACCACCACCACATTCCCACTCCAGCTTCAACTAAACATAGCATCTTTTGCTACTATTTAACAGTTTTTCTCTGTGTGTGAGCATCAATAAAAGAACCTTGTAGAATAGTTCTCTCTTGTCTTCTGGGCTGAGTAACTACGTCTAGAGTTTCCTGGGCCAGAAAACCCAGTCCCTGCTTTAAACAAACTTGTTGGGGAAGCACAATGAGGTGCCATTCATTTGGAAATGAATTTAATTCTTCATTTTCTACCTTGGCGAGATGAGCACAAGGAGGGGAGGCTGCAGATTGCATAGACCTGCAGCGTTGCCCCTATCCACAGACCCCACCTGAATCCCATAGGCAAGGAGTCTCCCAAGTTTTGAAACTTTATTGAATACAAAAGTCTGATCGTAGTGACCAGTGCTGCATTCACCATAGGCTTGAAAAGGGATCAAAACATTCAAATGTACAAAAGTCACCAACACCTGGGCTGCGCAACACGCTGGTGCCTGGCTTCAAGCCTGCCCAGCTGCCATCCCAAAGTGGACCGGCGCAGGAGATTCTACCTGCCAGGCACCATAACCAGAGATGAGGGACACCAGCAGCTTCCTAGCTCCAGGAATTAGGCACACGGCCACCATGTGTCATGAGCAGACGGTCGGACCCAGGGGCCTGGCCTCAGGTGGTGGCAGATGGCAGCTTGACAAAGAGGGCACGATGAGTGGTCAACGGCAGGTTGCCTGGCAGATGGCGGGAAGGTTGACTGGTGAGTGAGGGTTGGTATGGGGTAAGTGGGTTGGAGGTGAGAGGTAGGGGACAGGCAGCAAGAAGCCAACTTCACCTTCCTCTGTTCAGTAGCTATAGGCCCATCGGTGCCTGTAAAAAAGAGAAGCCAGCCCACACCAGAGAGTAGGCCGAACCATGCCATTTTGATTCCACCCTTGCTGAGAAGTGAAGCACACACTGCCCAACCAATATTCCCCATTCACAGACAGAAGAGCAAACACTGCTAGGAAGAATGACCTGTTGTCCCTTGACAGACAGGCTACCTGTCACACTAACCCAGGAAGCACTCAAGTATTCTAATGAGGGTTTTGTATAAAACGCCCCTGTGTTACTGGAGCCAGAAGTGACACCCAGGGCCCAGCAGGGGGACAGCACCAAGCCATGAATGGAGGTGGGCAGTGGCCAGGCCCATGAGAGCTTCTCCTTTGGAAGAGCTTCTCCTCAGCTGGGCACGAGTGAACCACCTGGACACCTTGCGGGCTGGCATTTGTCGCAAGGCCAGGCCACCCCCTGGAAGGAAGGCTCAAACGGCACTCTTCCACACTGAGAGGAAAGGAAAACAACTACCTGTACTGTACTTCCGGGATCCTTAAGGGATGCCGCTCTGTGAAAAGTTCTGGGAGAGGATAGGGAGGTTCAAGAACCTGCACAAGGTTTCTCTGCTCTCAGTGCCTTCCAGCCAGGAGTGGGGCTTGGCTGTGCCCAGGACCCCTAAGCGCTGCGCCAGGCACCATGACACACTCACACTTCCTCCCCAACCTGTGAAGGGCACTGTGGAGAACTGACTAGTGATCAGGAGATGGGCTTCAGCCAAAGGCTGGGGCAAGGCAAAGGTGTAGTCTTGGCCTTTCCCGCATCCCCACAAAGGAGGCAGACAGCTCCTCCAAGCCAGGACACAGTCCTCTGAACCAGTCAGGGCTGGGATCCGCACAGCTCCTCATGCATGGGGCCATGGGCAGAGCCAGGTAGCAAACAGTCAGCCCCGAGGGGGGCGTGGTGGTGGGCGGCCAATCTCCACGGTTACATTGGTGTACATGGGACGACGAACCACCTCCACCAGGCGGTACTGAAGCGAGCCAATGCCATCGCGTTTCATGGTCACCTTGGTATTCTGGATTTTGGTGAACCTGCCAGGAGAACCAGAGAAAAATTCATCTTACACATGAAAGTAGGCAGTTAGATTAATTCAAGTTAAACCTACAAGCCATTCCTCGATGAATGGAATAGAGCAGGCTTCCTCAAACTTGGCCCTCCAGATGTTTTGAGACTACAATTCCCATCATCCCTGACCACTGGTCCTGCTAGCTAGGGATCATGGGAGTTGTAGGCCAAAAACATCTGGAGGGCAGAGTTTGAGGAAGCCTGGAATAGAGAGTCGAATGACAGCTCAGGCCACTTGGAAGGATTTTGGGTAGAGCCTTACGTGACATCCACGCACAATAAAGCAATTTCTTATGTCAGATTTCCAGCATACAAAGCACTGTGGGACTTCCGAAATGAAATTGTGTCTTCTGAACACATGAATGGACAGTCACCAAGCACAGCCCTTCCAGGTTGAAAGTCCCAAGTAACAGAGTGAGCTTCTCTACCCAGAGCTCAGCTTTAAAACAACACTCCCCGTCAAATGATATAGCAAGGTTGCAAAGTGTGATGGCGTCATAGGATCCTGGAGGGCCATGGATGGTGACTGCATTTAGTTCTCATGATAGGTGATTACTACCACCACACAACTTTCTCAAGTGGAATGTCATGAAATAAGGTTTAGTGTATTGCCCTGAAACCATCCCAGCTGTGGCTTTTCTCGGGTTCCAGACAATAAATGTTAGGGCACAGGATAGGAGTCCCTTTCTCTTTCCTTGCCTAGAACTAGCAGAACATAGATTTAACCAAACACACCTGGTGCATGATTGGGACTCTGATTCATGTCTGTGTCTCTTAGAAGTAAGAGGCAGAGAGTGGAATTAAAACTGGGGGTAGGTCAGAAAGAGGGATGCACACACAGTAATAGAAAACACTGTCTGGGGGAAGGCTAAGGACTTGTAGGCTATCTTGGTTTGTCTCATGGACATTCTACAGGGAGGCAAACAAATGTGGCCCCTCTCTCCTCATAAGGTGTAGAGTAGTATGCTATAAAAGGGAAGAGGCGTCTGGAAGATTATTTTCCATTGGAAATCAGGCTTGAAAGCCATTATGTGCCCAGGGAAATTGTGCAGAAATTGTGTGGGAGCTTTCTATCTCCTTATGTAGCTTGCAATGGACTAGGTGGGGAGCTAGCAAGCACATTGTCTCTCTCACCGCTGGGGATTGGGCTCGTTGTGTCGGTCACGCTCGTGCTTGATCATGCGGTAGCGCCCAATGCGGGCATCAGGACGTGACACTTTCATGCCATTAAGCGAGATCCTGTGCAAAGAAAAAGTGCAGCTCAAAGACCAGCAGACAGGTCGGGGGCAGACTCTAAATAAAGCAGGAGTTAGTCCTCACCCTCCAGTCCTCAGCACCCCCAACCCCTTTTGGCTTTCAGAGTATTGGCTCCCCAGGCCTTCTATTTGGCCCTGCCTGTTATGTGCTGCGGAATACCTACCTGCCTATGTCCTCCTCTCTCAGATTTGGGAGCATTGTTATAGAAAAGGCAGGTGTTGCATATTGCCACCTGCCATTTGCACAGCTACCCCACCCCAGAAGAGGATGCTGTTCCCTGCCACTCAGCACATTCCCAGGAGACACCACATGGAAAAACAGACTACATGGCTACTACAACCAACTTGCAGAGAACAAGTTCTGGCTAGGCTTGGCCCAGCCTCTCACGCACCGGTTAAAGATGTCGTCATCTTCCCCACCCCAGCCCCAGTACTCGTTAGGGAAGCCATTGATCTTCAGAAACTGTGTCTTGCTCAGGCCAGAGACACCTCCGAAGTAGCCAGAGTATGGCAGCCTGCAGAGGACAAGCAGGAGAGATGGGAATCAGTCAAGCCACGAATGGGTTCAGGAGCACAGAACCTGGGTGGTCCAAGCTACACCTGACACAGTCTAAATCCCAGTTTCCAAATCAGCCATGTGATGTCACCCATTGCTCCCACTGCATCAGGTCTCTCCTAAATCCTTCCCATTTCCCTTCTCCTTAGCTGGAATGCAGGATTCCATTTTATACACACTGTACCTCCTCCGTCTCCTTTTGCCATGGTTGGCAGGTAAGAATATAGGCAACACAGAACATTCACGTGGGGATCCTGTCTGTTTACATCACCTTCATATAGGTTTTGCAAGCGCCCATTCCATAATGTAGTATCACAAGGACTTCCCTGGAGCATTTCATCTAGTCATATAAGAGGCAGCAAAGTTTAAATTAGGGGTGTGCACCAAACAGAAGATTCAGTTTGGACCTGGAGTCAGTACTTCAGAAAACAACATGCCTCAGTCCCAAGTGCTTCAGAGTCTGAGTTGGGAAAAACAAGATTTCATTTCCCCTCGTTCACTATTGGGTTCTTGTTGTTTTTTAAGCTATACCTTTTCCCCTTTTTACAGTGGATAAAATTTGCAGGCACATTAGCTAATCCACAGTGGATTCAGCCAGCCACATAGTTCCAGGGTGGGGATTTTTTCTGTCAGGTACCTTTGAAATTTGATGGTTATTTTTCTAAGGAAACTTTTCCCCCTCCCCCACTATTGGATGAAATTTGCAGGCATCAGAGGCTCCATGAAAGATGAATCCTGTTAAATTTCTGAACGATAGCTTCATTGGTTTTCCCACAAGGACAGCCTTCACAGTTTGGGGATGGGTAAAAAGTGTCCACTTAAACTTCCCATGTCTTTTGAGGGCAATTGTTTGGAAACCAGACATGAAAGAGGTTTCCCTAGGTATGAAACTTGCCAATGGCAGACAAATTGGTTCAATTTTTGTGAACTAGGGACTTTTAAAGTTAATCTTGGGAGTCGGGGACAGAACTAAAAAGGATTTCCTTTCCTCCTCACAAAGCACTGGGGTTGAAGACTCCAGGTGAAGTCATTCCCTCTGATTACAAGCTTGACCTGTCAGTCACAGCAGAATCCTGCCCCCCCTTACCCTGGCATTTATTCTACTTCAGCCATTCCACACCCCTTGTGTTTTCCTTATACACTAAAGTTAGCTACATTAGTTTTGCTTTCAGCAGACAATTGTCAGAGTTTTCACGGTGCCATGAGGCACTTTGGGAAATCCCCACTTTGTCTCTGGATCCCTGAAGAGGTTCCACTTTGTCTCGGACAATCCCAGAATCCGTGCAAAGCACCCTGCTTTGGCTTGGGATTCATCTAAAGCTGTTGTGTATCCCCACTTTTAAGTAAAAAAACCCTGCAAATTATGAA